TATACATATATTTACCTGCATGTTTACTCTTGCTAGGTTGTGATCACTGTATCTCTTGCTCTGTTATAAACCTGCATGTGAACTGGTCTTGTGACCACTAGCTTGTGCTCGGAATTTGTGTGGAATCCTCGAGATCCACCCTGAGCTTGTTGTTGCCTTGCTTTGCTTTGACTGGTCTTGTGACCCCTAGATCTCCCCCACTTTGCCTATGGGGGTGTGTCAAACATTATATATGTTGGTTGTTGTTAGGCTACAGTGGGCTAGACTATATGGGGTACACTATTCTAGGGTTTGTATTTGTACTGCCTTCCCTGTTAGTTCAGCCATTCCAGTCAGTTATTCTTCACATAGACTACAGTGGGTTAGCCTATAGGGGGTACACATTTCTAGGGTTAGGTACTTGTACTGATTTCACTGTTAGTTCAATCATTCCAGTCCGTTCATTCTGACACCCCTGCTCAAGGCCAAGAGGGTAGAGGAGCAGGAGGAGGGAGAGGAAGAGGCCGTGGAGGCCGTGGTGGTCGCGGAGGTGGAGCCGCGAACATGAAGAGTGGAGACAACGACAAGGACCCGAGCGACGATCGGTACCCGGGTCTATTCTACTTCGTGTCGACGCAAGTACCAGCTGGTCCAGAGAAGGATGAAGACCTTGAGGAGCCAGCAGCTGTGGGGAAGGTGACCCTACACCCCCTGGACTTTTGGGTGATTGATAGCGGCGCTACCTATAGCATGACACCTCGCCCCGACTTGCTCACCGAACTCGAGCCGTCACCGGTGAAGCACGTCACATCGGCTTTGGGGCAGCGAGCGGAGGTGAAAGGCATGGGCAAGGCCATGTTCAAGGATGTTGATAGAAATATGGTGGGCCTTAAGAACGTGCTTTGGGTGCCAAGCCTTGCAGCCAACCTGATTTCCGTGCGGCGATTGGCAAAGGCCGGCATGGACACGAACTCGAAGGGAGCCAAGACCTACACCGCAAGGATTGGCGACCGGATTATCTGGGACCTTCATGAGGACAGGGACGTCTACAACGAGATGTGGCAGATCCCTGTGGTCCCCATGCCTAAAGGGAGGCAAGTGGCAGCAAGCGACAGCACCAAGGTTGAAGCGGTTGGTAGCGGCGATGGCGCGGACGGTCGCGCTAAGGAGAATGAGCCCAAGAAGGGCAAACCTGGATGAACCAGCAAGCTCGGTGATCCTAAGGAGAGTGGTGCAGCAGCCAAGGAGCAGCACAAGGGTGAGGAGAACCCCGAGGCAGCAGCGAAGGAGGACTACGGAGAGAGTATGTGGGGCGCTATTGCAAGCGCGGCATTCTCCAATCCGACTACGGGGGAGTGTGATTGGCTCACCTTGCATCGTCGGATGGGGCATGTGGCCCTACCCATCTTGCAGCAGCTAGTGAAGAATGAGATGGTTGCTGGCATACGTGTGAAGGGGGAGCCCGATGAGGTGCTTGGCTGCCCAACGTGCTTGCAAGCCAAGTTCACCCGATTTCTATTCCCTAGTTCGGAGGCAACGGCAAAGGCACCGCTTGATGAGGTGGTGATGGACGTGGTGGGCCCCCTGAAGCTTGGAGCTGCTGGAGCAGAGTACTTTCTCACCATTGTGGATGTCTACACTCGCATGACGTGGGTTTTTGTACTCGCTAAGAAGAGCGACGTGGCTGAAACGTTGAAGACGGATTGGTTCCCGATGGTGGAGCGGCAACAAGACCGTCTAGTCAAGTCAATCCGCACCGATCGAGGGGGAGAGTTCCTGAGCAAGGAGTTTGGGTTGTGGCTGAAGAAGAATGGTATTCGGCACTCCCTCACCATGCCATACTCCCCTGCAATGAACGGCATCGCCGAGCGAGCGAACCGGACGATCACGGAGGCGGCACGCGGGTTGCTCATTGAAGCCGGGCTACCCGACTATTTCTGGCCTGATGCGGTGCGGAGCGCGTGTGTGGCCAAGAACAGAGTTTTGACTCATGTGGGAGCAGACAAATGGGTGCCCTATGTGGAGTGGCTTGGAAGGAAGCCAAAGGTGGATATGCTTCGGGTGTTCGGGTGCATGTGCATGGCGCTCGTACCTAAGCATCTTCGGCACAACAAGCTTGGTGCCAAGGCGGTGTGGGCCGTGCACTTGCTCAAAACAGCAAGGGGTGGCTTCTTTGGGACCCATTCACCAAGAAGTTCATGGTGAGCAGGGACTGCAAGTTCATGGAGAACTTCATGTACAAGGATTGGAAGGCGGAGAATGAGGCGAAGATAGGCGTGCGGTTTGGGGAGGTGAAGAGTCCCAGCTTGGAGCACGTGGAGCTGCCTTTGGAGCTGAGCAGCGGCAGCACCACCACAAGGCAATCTTCCCTTGTGAATGGGGGAGAGGAGGCCAAGGATGCAGAGGAAGAAGAGGAGGAGGTGCAGCAAGTGAGCGAGCGTGCACCGACACTCCCTTCCCGCACTACGAGCGCTCCACGGAACCGCACCACACCGCAGCAACGCCAAGGCCTTCAAGTCCCTGCAGCTGAGGAGGAAGGAAGGGGGAAGAGGAGAGTTCAACCCCCCAATTGGTTGACCTATGATGCGCCAGGGAAGCAGGGCAAGACGGCCCTAGCTGGAGCGGCAATGATGGTCGGAGACGACGAGGAGAGTGACTACGAGGAGTGTGCCTTCGCGTTCTTCTCTCCGGTGGAGATGCCGGGAGAACCAGCAACTCTCAAGGAAGCCTTGGAGAGTGGTTATGCTGAGGAGTGAAAGAAGGCCATGGAGAGTGAGCTGAAGAGCATCGAGGAGAACGACACGTTTGAGTTGGTGGAGCTACCGGAGGGGCGTACGGCGATAACGTCCAAGTGGCTCTTCAAGATCAAGTCCGATGCCGACGGCAAGATCGAGCGTTACAAGTCTAGGCTGGTGGCCAAGGGGTACCAGCAGAAGGAGAATGTGGACTTCAAGGAGCTGTTTGCTCCTATGGTGAAGCCGACGACGCTGCGAACCCTGCTCGCGGGAGCCGCAATCAAAGGTTGGGTGGTGAAGCAGCTAGACATTGTAACCGCGTTCCTCAACGGCATTCTTGAGGAGGAGATTTTCATGGCGCAGCCGGAGGGGTTTGATGACGGCAGCGGCAGAGTGTGGAAGCTGAAAAAGGCCCTCTATGGGCTGAAGCAGGCCCCTAGACAATGGTACCTGAAGCTGCGTGAAGTGTTGGAGGAGATCGGCTTCACTCCCTCAACGGCCGATCACTCCTTGTTCATGCTTGGCGAGGGGGAGCAGAGGAGCTTCATGGTGGTCTACGTGGACGACATCCTCATCTTCTCGCCCTCCTCTGACCTTGTGAAGGAGGTGATGCTGAAGCTTCAAGACAAGTTCAAGTGCAAGTCCCTTGGGGACGTGAACTTTTACCTCGGGCTTCACATCGAGCGTGATGTGGAGAAGCGGTGCATGCGGGTGCACCAACGCAAGTACCTGGAGGCATTGGCTGCCAACTTTGGGCAGAATGAAGGCCATGTGGCTACACCCTTTCCCTCTGGGTTCAAGTGTGTGAAGGGACCAGAGGAGGAGAGCGTGGGTGAAGAGGAGAGGCGCCGTTTTCACTCATTGGTGGGCAGCCTCATGTACGCGGCAGTCAACACACGACCGGATGTCGCGTTTGCTACCGGGCAGCTGGCTAGGGTGGTGCAATGCCCTAATGAGGAGCAGGTAGCAGCTGGAATGAGGGTGGCCAAGTATCTTGGCCAAACACCGACCGTTGGGCTGCAATATTCGGCAGCGGCACAAAGGCGCCAAAAGGGTGCGGATGGTGTGGAACCCGGGCGTTTGTTCCTCACCGCTTTCTCGGATGCCTCCTATGCATCAGAACCAGAGGACATGACAAGTGTTGGAGGGTTCATTTGCTGTGTTGGTGGAGGCCCAACTGCTTGGGAAAGCAAGAAGCAGGTTGACCAAGCTTTGAGCTCGGTGGAGTCCGAGTACATGGCACTCTTCCGTGCCGTACGGGAGATTGTGTGGCAGCGGCGTTTGCTGGCTGAATTGGGGGAGGAGCAGCAGGGACCTACCCCACTCTACTGTGATAGCCAGGGTGCCATTGCTCTAGCCAAGAACCCCGTGTTGCATGGCCTGACAAAGCACATGAGGGTGAAGTGGCACTGGACAAGGAGCATGGTGGCCGCGGGTGAAGTCGAGTTGCGCTACGTGAAGGCAACGGGGCAGCCGGCAGACATGATGACTAAGAGGCTGGTGGAGCAGCAGCATTGGAAGTGTTGCAAGCTGGCTGGGATGGCTCTGAACTGAGAGAGCAAGTTCCTAAGGCCAACAACCCGAGGGGGAGTTTGTTGGTGCAACCTACGGTTTGCACTCGGCTTGTTGTCTGTGTGCGTGTGCGTGCATGCGTATGTGCATGGAGTGGTATGAGTGCATGAAATAAATATATATTTCATGCTTATAATGGTGTGTGAATGATGGGTCATGATGTCGAGTGTGTGTGTCAAGTCAATAGCGAATTATCGCTAGTCGCGTGTAACGCGGTCATTTTGTGTGTCCCGCGCGGTTTCTATTTTGTCGTGCGCGGTTTCTATTTTGTCGCTTGTCGAACGTTCGGCGTGTCGCAGGTGTGTGCAGCAGACCCATCAAGAACTCAAGGATGAGTTTTTGTGATGAAGAACCCGAGCCTTGGTTCAAGCTTCAAGTGTTTTCGAAGCTCGCCAAAAGGCTACACCTCAAGATATTGAAGATAGTTACATTACAAAGTCTAGTGTAACATTTCAGTTGGTATAGGCCCTTGTGAAGGGTAGTTTCGAGACCCTTCTTGGTTGGGGACAGTATGGCACTGTTCCCCATCACTGTACCTCGGCTCTTGGGGTTTGTAGGAGCTGGGAGTCATTCCCAACTCGTAACTCTTCCTAGCTGTTCGTAATTGTGTGTTCTAAGACTATGTTGCTGCCATAGTGCCGTTCGTTGAAACCAACGCTGTGTCGTCAGTTATTGATGAAATCGTGCGATCTAAATTGCCTATTGTAGGCGACGTTAAGACGCTCCAGATCCAAGTTGAATGAGGTCATTTGGAGTTGTGAGCAGATCGCTATGAACGTTTAAAGCCGCTGTGCAGAAATCTGACTGCGCATCTTTCGTTTTAGGCACATTGAAGCCTACTGTGACTATAACAGGGTGGGCAAGCGACCGGCAGGAGCAAGACGCAGCAACTGGACCAGACACGGGAACCTGACCAGACACAGCTACCTGATGAGAAGCGGCAACCTGGTGAGACGGAGGGACTTGACAGGGGGGAGTTATAGTGGTCGGTGGCAGTAGCTGCTGCTGCTGCCGCCGCGGCTGCTGCTGCTGCCGCTGCTACTGCTGCTGCCGCTGCTGCTGCCGCCGCTGCTGCTGCTGCTGCTGCTGCTGCTGCTGCTGCTGCTGCTGCTGCTGCTGCTGCTGCTGCTGCTGCTGCTGCTGCTGCTGCTGCTGCTGCTGCTGCTGCTGCTGCTGCTGCTGCTGCTGCTGCTGCTGCTGCTGCTGCTACCGCTGCTGCTGCTGCTGCTGCCGCCGCTGCTGCTGCTGCTGCTGCCGCTGCTGCTGCTGCTGCCGCTGCTTCCGCTGCCGCCGCTGCTGCTGCCGCCGCTGCTGCTGCTGCTGCTGCTGCTGCTGCTGCTGCTGCTGCTGCTGCTGCTGCTGCTGCTGCTGCTGCTGCTGCTGCTGCTGCTGCTGCTGCTGCTGCTGCTGCTGCTGCTGCTGCTGCTGCTGCTGCTGCTGCTGCTGCTGCTGCTGCTGCTGCTGCTGCTGCTGCTGCTGCTGCTGCTGCTGCGCTGCTGCTGTTGCTGCTGCCGCCGCCGCCGCTGAGAGCCAGTGTGAAGTGTGTAGAGGCCAGAGCCCGGCTCAGCGGTAAAGGTGGCCAGAGGCGCGTTCGTGTCCCCGTCGACATAAACCGCAGGCTTGCCAGAAGGCTCAATCCACACACCCACGTGCTGACTCACGAGTGGCCTCACACCCACCAAGTTCCTCGAGAACGAGGGGACGTGGAAGCCCGTCAGAAAACTCGAGGGAATTGCTGGGCACGGAAGCGTAGTAGTGTAGCGAGCAGTGACTGGTCCCAAAGTGGGATCAGCCAGTGCTACAGAGACCGGCGCCGGAAGCTGAGTAAGCGTCGTGTGGTCACGGAAGAAACAGTGCGAAGCTCCGGAGTCCAGAGTGATCGACAACGAAGAGTCCTCTGAAGCAGGCATTTTAGAAACACAAGCACCTAAGCTAACAACACTCGAGTAAACAGAGTCAGACAGGCTCGGGCACTACGGATGTAAACGAGAGGATCAGGATCCCACAGGGTCCTTACCTAGGTGATACCATGTCAAGAACAGAAGAATGTGTTGACAAAGGTTGGTTGGGGTACATAAACCTAACCGTAATTATTGTACCCCATATGACACACATCACTAAGACTATAACATCTGAACCTGATGCACCAGTATAGTAGCCTAAAATGAATATGAGGGCTGGTACACACAGCTCGATGTCAAATAATATCTATGTATTTGTTGGTTATGCTAGGATAGAGTGAGTTGCCCTTTAGAGGGTACACCAATTTTAGGTTTCACACTTGAATTCAACACTCGACATTCTAGATACACAATTCACTAAATTCCTACTCTGAGATGGTATCGAGCTAAGTTCATTCCTTGACGAATACTAACTCCCTGGGAATATTCTAGACTAGTATAGTCATTAGTCCACCGTAGCGCCTCCACCAGCCAGCCGTTCCGTCGCCCTTAGGCAGCTTGAGCATCAAGGCTGACGTTTCAAATTAGGCCTCCCTGAATCTAGAGAAAAAAAAAGGGAAAAAAAAAAAAAACAAACAAACAAACAAACAAACAAACAAACAAACAAACCCTGTATTATGGGTGCACAATTTTCAAAGGTTAGCTACTCGTGTCCAACAAAGTCTCACTCTGATGCTTCAGGGTTCACAACATAGATGCTGGAACTTCTCCTCCACATCCTCATAGTCAAAGAGGAAGGGGTTGTCCTCCTCCTCCTCCTCCTCCTCCTCCTCCTCCTCCTCCTCCTCCTCCTCCTCCTCCTCCTCCTCCTCCTCTCCTCCTCCCTCACGAGCTCTTGATCGCTGCCCAGGTCTTATTCCACATCCTCCTCCTCCTCCCCCTCATCCTCCTCGTTTTGATCAGCATCGTCTGCATCGCCTTCACCCTCCTTTGCTTTCCCCTTTCTGTCACGCTCTGACACTGCCAGCTTCGCGCTCTTTGCAGGGCGCCTCCTCCTCACAGACTTCCAGTGCTTCGGCCAGTCGATGTCAGGAGCGAAATCTGCATCAGCTCGCCTAGACGAGCGTTGCAGAGCGCGCCTCGCACCGACACTTGATGGCGTTTTGTCTGAAGAAACCCTACTTGCACTCCATAGTTGACATGGGAATCATCGCGATTGCCTGCCACAGAAGGATGATGTTAGGCCATCTCCTGCCAGGTACATTAACACAGTTCCGTTCGACGTGAAGAGACGCTAAAGACATGCACACTATCACAGGGGTTTTCGAGCTGGCCCGAGCTGTGCGTTAATTCCTCGAGTCAGCGCCCCTGCGAGAAGCTCTCCAGCTCGTGGTGCGTCTACATTATCTCGCAAAATGTCGGGAGCTCCCTCTCTACAGCCTTGAGATCGAATCCTGGTAGCTTGTTGCGGAAAAGCTTGCTGCATCTGTGGAGCCACTTACGGCACTTCCACTCCCGTTGAGCCTTGATCTTCGGCCACTTCCCCGCCCGGACCAGCTTCGTCGGCTGCAGCTTCTACATGTCATCCATACATTCATTGAGATTTTCGACGCAATCGCGGGCGAACCTGCGGCACAGCTTCACGCACTCGGCGTAGGTGCTACCGTACTTGAGCCCCGGGAGCGGCCTCTCATGCATGGTATAGAGGTGGTTGATTGGGCGTCCCTCCCCGTCCGCACCTCGCAACCGCGCCTCCGCCTTGACCGTGCAGCTGCAGAAAAGCCGACCAGCCAGCACTTGCCCTCGCCACCAAACTGTTGTCCGTTTTCCAAGTTCCGTTGCGTCAGATCCACCGGCGAGGAAGAACAGACAGAACTGGAACTTGTAGCTAGTCACAATCTCGTACGCCTTGTGACTGTTCTTCAGAGGCGAATGATGAACGCGTCCAGAACCTTGCACAGCCGACGCACCGCATTGCCTCGTGTCAGCCTCCGAACCATGTGGATCCCCTGGACTTGAAGGTTGGTGTTGTATATGACACTCTACAGGTACTTGAAGCGTTGACTCCAGATGCACGACTTCCCAAGCTCTGTCACCACTGTACGCACAACCTTGTCCACCATGTCCAAGTCCGGTTTTGATGTCGCGGCGTCCTTCACAGCTAGAGCCTCTCTGTAGAAGGCAGAGGACATAACACAAGACGTTTAATTAGAGCAGATGTTATGAATTGCACATCCAAACGACTACCAAACTCACTAGTGGACGATGCAGTGACAGGAAAAGAGATGCGGGGCGTGTTCTCGAATCTGCGCCACCAAACCGTTGTCCTTCCCAACATGACCGAAGCCCCGTCCGTACTGACTTGCACGATCTTGGACACATCAACGGCTGAGGAGCGGAGGTGATTCAAGAGCACCTTGAACATGGACGTTGCATCACATTTCTCAACTGTCAGCAGGGTGAAGAACTCAGTGACGACTTGGCAATTCTCCAAAAAGGTGAGGTAAACAATAAAATGTTTCCCTCGCGTTCGGTCGGTGCTCTCGTCGGAGATGAGGCCTAATAATAGGGAAGATTGGATGTGGTCCATCTGCACCTTCGTTAGGTAGGTACTGATGCTGTGAACCATCTGTTGGAAACCATACCTGCACAGGTTTGTAACACAAATAAAGGAAACTCTTAGCGCAAAACACGTAATAAAACCCACGGAAACCGTGTCATACCGAGTGACATGGACCCCATAAAATGACCTCAGAATATCGGGCGTGTCCTGCTCCGCGATATGCCGCATCATCTTCGGAAACATGCTGATCGGTGCGTCGTACTGGCACAGAAACTGAACTAACCGCATCAAATCGCACGCCTCCCCTCGATGTCCGAGTTGATGAAGTTTGAAATTATCTGCTGCCCCTCGCAGATGCCCTGCGCAATCTTCATCTGCCGTTCAATCTCGCCGTGTGAGCGCCCGTGTGCTAGGTGGAAACCTCGGGAATGCAAGGTTGGGTGCAGGTTTGGCGAAGGGAAAACCGAAGGCGACGCAAGGCAACCTCAGAATCGTAGATGGCGGAGTCGAAAGTGTTGGGGTTGTACGCATAGTAGTTAACCCCGATAAGGAAAATGAATTTTCCTTTCCTTACGCTCGTGACTATTCGCGTGGCACAACAGTAGAAGTATTGTTTCAAAGTCGACTAGATAAGATAGCATGGCAATACATTTAGGACGCGTCACAATTGCAACACCGGGGAAGATCGGCACCAAACACCGAGAATGTGTGCATCGACTTGCGAAAAAAATGTTTCAATCTGCAGGAGCAGTTTTGGCTGCTTCCCAAGCCAAGTGGGACATGACCGAGTTTGCAAGTTGGGGATCTCCACACCAATTGTACACCCGGCTGCTAGCGCAGGAGCCGTGCGAGTCGCACAATTTCGCATGGCTTGTGACGAGCTAGAAATAGCAAGCTGCTTGCCCAAATTAATGGAGACAACGCAGGATACGAAATTACCACATCGAAAGTTTTTTACAGTATGCGACGGCGATCGATCGTGGCTGGAATTGGTGGCGCGATTTCAATTCCCGCGCTGTCAAATCGCACGATCGATCTGGCAGTTTGAGCTATCCGACCTTGACACGAGTTTCGCAACTGGATAAACGACGACGGGATACATGGCTTCCACGAAATGGCGAAGACACTGTAGATTGTGGACACCGATATTTTACAGGATCGGTGTTGCAATTGTGACGCGTCCTAATGTAGGGAACGTTCCTGTGGAGACACTTGTGTCTCAATCACTTTGTGACACCCAAAAACATGTACTGTATGGTGTCTCAAATGCGAGTTGCCTCACCACGACTTTCACTGTATTTTTTATTGGTCAGCATGAAATGCGCTGACGTCGCTGACGAATTGCGATGCGACCCGTCATTCTAAAAAAATAGCACGCGACTCGAAATGTCGACACGGCCACATGCACCTGGACACCCGAAAATGCCAATCTCGCGAGGGAAAAAAAGTCCCGCGCATCGAAACCACGCCCCTGCCCCGAGGTTGAAAAAACGGGTGTACAGTCACCCAATCAAATGCATGTCTCTGTACATTTCTTTTTATCGCATCCAGTGAAAAGTGTCCAACTGTCCCTACCAATCAGTCGCCATACGTCGTGGTACATTCGATGTTTGTGACGCGACATTGGGAAATTTTACAAGCGCGACTCGGGAAAATGGGGGTTGAGACACAAGTGTCTCCACAGGAACGTTCCCTTAGTCTATGCCACTTGGACTCGATCTGATAACTTCCACTCCCAAAGTTGGCTCGAGTGGCCTTCGGACTTCGGGCGTGGAACATCTGGGATTTTTTTCAAACTAGTGGTACCGCTTTGAAACGCAGTACAACCTACTAGAGAATATCGTTTATTAGACAGCATTCGACCGTTCGGACGGTACGGTTCGTTTGGAAAAGATCAAGATGTTCCACGGCCTTAGCGCAACCCCTTTTGGCCCAAACTCGAGTTTCGGGGTCCTTGCCTATCTAGGGTCCCTCGTACTCGTGCCTATGTACCCTCTCATTTGGTTAAGTAACGACTGAACGTTGTAACCATTCTTATATGGAATTCGCAAACAAAAAACGAATGTGTTCTTAGATGGAGTTTGCTTTTCCAGATTTGTGTGCTTCCCCAGTACCTGTTGGGCCACTTAGCCACTGCCACGCCAT